GGGACAGGCATAAAGTCTCACTTCCTGCTCTAAAATGCAGGGGTGTGGCTAAAATAAGGCTCTGCCTGTGGACTCATTGGCTGTGTCCAAAACCACATACTACCGTACTAAATAGTTTGTTAAAAAATAGTTCACCACCGATAGAAGTCCATTCATTAGTGTAGTATGTGTAGTGTAGTAGTATGTTATTTTGGACTTTTGTGTTTCCATACTGGAAAGTATGAAAGTGTGGGATTTTTATTTAAAAATTAAATTTGTATTTTGTATATATTTAGGTTATTACTCAGTTAATCTCAATACATGTCTTGGGTTTAAATAGATAAGATAATTCTTGCAAATATCTAAGGTCTGAATACTCAATTGGTTTTTTAAATAGTTTTTTCCCCCTAATTTCTTACTTTTAAACTATTTGGCTGGACCGGTCCATTTATGGTTCTTTAAAGAACATTATAGGGTTTATATATATATATATATATATATATATATATATATATATATATATATATATATATATATACACACACACACACATATAGCTCCAAAAAGGATTCTGTATAGTATCAAAAAGGTTCTGGGACTTGGAGCAATAGCAGATCCTTGATGTTTTTTAAAGAACCATATATAACAGGTTTTCCGTCATAGGGAAGAACTGTTTATGTATTCAAATGGTAACATGAGTTGTTACAGTTCTATATGTAGACATTCCCTTTACTAAAGAGCGCTTAAAGAAGGATGTAGCTAAAAACAGTAATAGCAATCCTCATGAACCCTGACATTTTCCATACATCCTGAAAGCGTTCTTTAGAAAGGCAATGGTTCTACATAGAACCAGCTGAATGCATAAATGGTTTTTCTTTACAGTGGAAAACCACATTTCTATTGTACAATTTAATTTAGTTTCCATTATTACAAAAAACCTTTCTGACACTATATAGAACCACACTAACTACACCAAAAGTGTAGATTTGTTGAATTTTATGGGTAACAGTAGGGTGAATATTGTTATGTAGGACACTTTCAGAAGTATAACTTTTCACTTTTCATCATCATCCCAATGTCATGTAATCTAACCTTTATAAAAAGCTTAAAACCAAGAAATACAAAACACAGACAGAATGATAGGATTTCGTTTCTTAGAAAAACACAAAACAGATACTTTTGTGAACATATTTCATTTATTTTGTTATAATAAGCATAAATTGTTTATATATCTGAATTCCTGCGGAGTCAATTCTTCAACCAAAATTGTCTAGCATGGCATCTCTGGAAAACTTGTACTGGCCAGAACTTACTATTGATATGAAATCGTTATTATTGACATGGGAAGCAATAATGAACACAATAACAATGTATTTACCCATAAGCCTGAGTGGCTGCGTCAGTTGACCAGTAAAACTCTGCCACATTTTGTCAATGGGCCAGTTTCCTAGACAGGATTAAGCCTAGTCTTGAGCCTCCTCAAAAGGAAAACACTCTCCATGACTAGGTTTAATCCCTATTCAGAAAACTGGCCCTATATGTTGTAGTAAAAAGTAGAGGGGAACAATGCTTAATAAAACATTTTAAATGATTAGGAAATATTTGTTTTATGTTTTCTGCTATACTTTTACATCCCACTTCCATATATGTAAGATTTACAAATCCTAATTCTAGTTTTACTTCTTTATAATCTTAACATGACTTACTTCATATTGCTGTTGTTTCATTTACCATTGATTTTCATGATCCTGCTTTCAAAATGGAGCCAAACATGACATCACGAACACAGAACCCCATCAACTCCACAATGATATGTGATCACTGAAGTATAAGTTGACCATTCTACTGAATTAGTTCAAACTGAAAAACAGAACCTCATTAAAAACAATTAAGTATTCATATTTTAGATATTGAAAAGGATTATGACAATCATAATTTATTAACTTCTGTCTTTTGGGAGGTCTCTGTCTCAAACCCTAACCCTTAAATTTCAAATTGTGAAAATAACACAATTTTTTTTTGAAAATATATAATTTGGATTTCTTCTCAATTAAAGTTGAAATATTTAGAATTGTCATGATTTTATTCTGTAAATAATAATAAAAAAAAGAAAATTAAAAAAGAATGCTCTCCTGCTTTTTCATGTCACTACTGTTTCAGCTCATATGCAGAGCCTTATTTTAGCCACACTCCTGCATTTTAGAGCAGGAAGTGAGACTGCATCTCTGTCCCTCATGGCCACATGGTGAGCAGTTAGATCCCATTGTTTTGAGGTAAAGTCTGAAAATCTGTGTGTAGCATTAAGAATTGTCATGACCAAACACATTTTCTGCAGTTAATTTTTGTGTTTTACTAAAAAAAATATGATTTTATGTGTGTACAACTGTTCAAAGTTGCGTTTGCTAGTCATGTACTGGCTAGCATTTTTGAGTTATGCTCAAAATTAGCTAAAAACCGAAACATTTGGTAAACTTCAAGCTTCAGTCTAAAGTCCAAGTCTGAAATGTGCATTTAACTGTGGAAGATCAAGCTTACAGGTCCCACTTTACCTTTTGTCTCACTTAAATGTATTCACCCTCTATCATACTGTGTCAGAAATCACATCAGCAAGTCTATTTCAGAGACTTGGCACAGTCTAAGGCAAGCGTCTGCATGCAGTTTGCACTATGCTAATCAGCAGCTAGTAGCTTCCTGTTGGCTACATTAGTCTTGTAGCTCCAGTGCACTGAAAAAGCACAGTTTATACATTAAACATTTCTTGGCAGATCATTTATATTTAGGATAAGAGGAAATTGTATAAATTAGTAATATTGACTCAGATTAACAATACAAGGAGAAAGCACACATTGCTCCAACCACATGCGACTAAAAAGTGTGTTAATTTGCACGTCTGTAGAGAAATTATCTTTGACATTACAGCACATGGAAGTTTTACAGGCAGGATTTATTTCATACAGGCTGCAGGACAGATTCCCTTAGGTCATGTAACATGCTGATGAGGATACAACAATGATAAAAACAGTCTGACAGTTGATAATAGACATCATCATCTGACTTATAACAGTGCAAATAAGCCATTGTTCCCTTTTTCACCTAAGAAGTCTTTGTTTTTTAAATATCCAGAAAGAAAGTGCTTCTCAAGACAAACACATGACAGACTTATTAAAACAAGGCATGGCAATGTGGTACACAACACACCGTATGATTTTTAGTCTCAAAGTGCCAAAGTGAACTTTTTGGTACTTTTTAAAGTATATCTAAGACATATGACACTATAGACTGAAGAAGTTATAAATATAAAGAGAGGACATCATAAAAAGATTAGCCTGTATAACCTGTATTAAAATCTAAACTTGGAAAAAACACATAAGAAAAATAACAGTAAAACCATCTGCGACAATGACTTGTGACTTTACTCTGGTAATAACTATATGCTTATATGCAGCAGTTCCACAATGATGGTAAAACTGTATACTTGAGTTTATTTCTATGTAAACAGGACCTGAGCTACAAAATAAAACTTTCTGTGGTTACCATAATTACTACTAATTTGCCTTTCTAGATTCATAACAACACATGTCTGTATGGAATGTGCGAATGTTTGGCAACTATTGGTTACATTTTCATAACAATGCCTTCCTATGATAGTCTGGTTAATTACTGTAGATTGAAAATACAGTCGCATGCAAAATTTGGAGGCACTTCAGTCCTGTTACACTGACAATGTTTTGGAGGTATTTAACAAAATGGAATTTCCCAGTTAGTTATATTTTTATATACTCAAAGATGCAGTTGTTCAGTAAGATGCTTTTGAATCTTCCCTCGGTGGACAGCCTTCTGTCTAAGTACAAGTTACCATGCTAAGTAATATAATGGATATCTTTATTAATAAGAGCTTTATTTTCAGCCAAACATTTTAGCAGGTATTTGATAATATATGTCAACCTTCTTGTCTTTATCCAAAACATCTGTCTTGGTCTTTTAATTCTAGCCTTCATTTCTGGTAGTCAGTTTCCCTTCCTTAACCTTAATGATTAGTGAATGCATAACTGCAGATCTATTAGGAGGTAAGTGTTCCTACAGAGCTACAGTTAAATCCTGAAGTAGTTTTTATTGAGTGCTGTTAAGCTGTATAACAGCTGGACAGATTTGTTTATAAGAGTCTCCAAATTTATATGTGTTTAAAAAATGTAACCATTCACTAAGAAATGCAGGAAATCTCCAGATTCGTTTTGAACAGTGCTAAGGTTACATTTTGGACATGGAGAAACAACTAAAACCTACATTTTGACTTGCACTACTCAAATATCTGCAAATCAGAAAAATAGACAAAATCTTAAAAAGGACTAAGGAGCTCATCTTCCTCTTTTCCACAAACCCATTTGCTTCCCTCTTTGCATTTGGTAGGTTTTTTGTTATTAGAGGAGGCATTAGGTCAGCAGTTACCCTGCAGGCTCTCTCACATGCACTATACACTGATGAACTACTCAATTTCTTTTAGCCTGCACCATCCACCACAATTTAAAAGAATAATGCTGTATTAGGGAAGGTTGTACATGCTAGATGGTGAACTAGTAAAAACGAATAAACACTGTTTGAGTGCTTGTTCACAGTTGCACCCACTACATGGAAAAAGAAAGTATGGAGGTCCAGAGACAACATACCTCACCTTTTCTGTGGTGTATTAAAAAGCATATTGATAGAAAATGCAGCAGGTACATTTTTTTCCCTATCATATGACTTTGTCAGCCATTCAAATGCAATTTAGTGTACATAAACATTGTTTTAGTTTATAATAACCATCAACCACATATTAGAGTTCACACTTTTGAAAGCCAAACTGCAACCAAGGAGTGCAAGCATGTTTGCCAAAAGTGAACTGGACTGTCAGTGATCCCTGCTTTTTCTAACATGGTTAAAGCACAGTATCAAGTGACAGACAGTCCAAATAAAAAATCTAGTGTACACAATTTACCATCCAAAATTTACACAGTTTTACGTTGCATAGCTAAAAATAGTAGTAGCAGCCATTTTGTCTGTACTTTTTTCAATTTTCATAGATAACAGCATGTTTACAGAGTAAGAACTCATATAAGCAAGTCTGTTTGAGATTGCTTAACAACTTGAAATGGTTTCAGACAAGTGTGTGATTATTTAGATTGTACTATGTTAAGTATGGCCATAAGCTTCCATTGCTTGTTAGCTAATAGCTAACACCAGTGCAAAACTAAAGAAGCAAACTTTGGACACCAAACATGTGTAGGCTGATGAGCTACCTTTGGGCCTGAGAGGAAAACTGTGTGAATTTTGGCTGAACAATCACTTTAACAGTGGAATTCTACAGCTGCATAAGAAAAGAAGTCTAACAAAGTAATACAATAATTGTTAGTATAAGCTACATTTGAAATATGCTACATTATAAGTAAAAACCTAAAAACTAAAAGCCAGTCTACTGTATTGCTTCGTCATTTTAAAGACACATTACATGATTATATTATAAATACTTTGACCTGTTTTAAGTTCCTTCATACAGGCATGCAAAACCCCTGATGCATGCTAGAACCTGAAAAAGCCTTTACTAAGCTTTACTAAGTCAAAACTGATAAGCTATATTCTGTTGTGAGTATTCTCTGAAGTTTGTCATATTTGGTTTCTCACTGAGTGATCATTAAAGTCTGAACAAAGACCTGCATATTACACAGTATAAAGTAATAGTTACAGTAAATCAGTGAAAACCACTGTAACCCGGTCAGACATCCAGGAGCATCACAGCTGTACTTCTTGTGTTCTGCTAGGCTTTGGGTGACGCGGCGTGCTTGGGGCTGCCGTAATTAGGTGTGACCTTCACATGAATGAAGAGGCTGGCAGGAGAGAGGCTGGAACCGTCAGCCCTCAGTAGCCGCACGTGTCTGTAACCTGCGGGACAGAAATCCAATCAGCGACAGAACTTTAAGGAAGCTGATGCATACTAGTGGACCTCCACCATTAGTGTGGCCAAAAGGCATTTACACCCTCTATAGCTATTGTCATTGGTTAAACTGGGCCAGGACAATCCAAAATTTGCTTCTCGTACTCTCCAGGGAACCTGGAGGATAAATTTAAATCTGCCACTAATCTCCTCCAGAGCTTTACCTGCAGCGTGACTAAACTGAAACTTTACCCACGCTGTTGCTGCATCACAGAAACAAGGACATACAGTATCACTGATGTGGAGGGCCACGCTTAATCCTTTAAGGCTGGCACAAAAAATTATAAAAAAAATTATTTGCTGTTTGATTTCTGCTCCTCATTAATAATGCAATTCTGTTGCATAAATACTGTTGTCATGTTTACTTGATAAGCAAAGAATGGGGTGTAAAGCCACCATGTTGAACAAGAAAACACATGAATAGGAATATGAGTCGCTTCATTGTTACTCCAATTAATAAGCACTTACCAATCCAAATTCTGCTCTGAATGAGCTCATTGGCTTGCTCTGAAAAAACACGGTGCACCAATAAAAAAGGAAGCCTCGTGCATATTCTATTTAGTGACAGAAAACACAGTTGCGCAAAAAAGCTCAGGCTCTCTTTATAGTAACATTTCATAATGTGAGTTTCCTGTTGCAAACCGAAACGTGCACATGGCATAGCTCTTCGGGCGGCAGATTTAAACGAGCGGCCTTATTGGGTTAATGTGCTTTATGAGCACCAAAATCTACTTAAGTGCTAATCACTCCCTCTTGTAAAGAATCCTCAGCTGAGAGGGAGGCAGGGAGTGAGTGAGTGAGTGAGTTACAAGCCAGGTCCATGAAGTGTTTCGCATCGAAAAATAAGAACAAATCACAGTTTCACAGGAAATATTTAACTCTTCATAAGCCTTCATAATGTCCATATTTATTTATATGAATGAAACTAGCTGACTAGCTAGTTGGCTTGGTATGTGCATGGTACACTATATGGCCAAAAGTATGTGGACACCCTCCTAATTGTTGGATTCAGATGTTTCGGCCACACCCATTGCTAACGTGTATAAAATCAAGTACACAGCCGTGCAGTCTCCATAGACAAATGTTGGCAGTAGAATGGGTCATACTAAAGAGCTCAGTCACTGTCATAGGACACCACCTTTGGCTCAAGTCAGTTAATGAAATTTCTGCCCTGCTAGATCTGCCCTGGTCAACTGTAAGTGCTGTCATTGTAAAATGGAAGAGTCTAGCAACAACAGCTCAGACATGAAGCAGTAGACTATGCAAACTCACAGAACGGTAGCGTTGTGTAAGTAAAAATCGCCTATCTTCTGTTGCATTACTCACTACAGGATTCCAAACTGCCTTTAGAAGAAATATCAGCACAAGAACTTTAAGTCGGGAGCTTCATGAAACAGGCTGCCATAGCAGCACAAAGCCTAAGCCTACAATGCCAAGAATCAGCTGGATTGGTGTCAAGCATGCCGTCACTGGACTCTGACTTTGGCAGATGCCAGGAGAATGCCGCCCACTGGAATGCATAGTGCCAACAGTAAAGTTTAGTAGAGGAGGGATAATGGTCTGGGGCTGTTCAGGGTTTATGCCCCTTAGTTCTTGTTAATGCTACTGCATACAAAGAAGTTTCACACAATTACATGCTTCCAACTTGTGGGAACAGTTTGGGGAAGATCCTTTGCTGTTCCAGCATGACTGTGCCCCTGTGCACAAAGTGAGATCCATAAAGGCATGGTTTGATGAGTTTGGTGTAGAAGACCCCAGTGGCTCGCACAGAGCCCTGACCTCAACTCCACTCAACCCCACCCTAATTTAGGATGGATTGGAATGTTGATTGTGATCCAGGCCTTCTCATCTTACATCAGTGCCTGACCTCACAAATGCTCTTTTGACTGAATGGGCACAAATTCCCACAGATACTCTCCAGAATATTATGGAAAGAAGAGTGGAGGCTTGTTATAGCCATAAATGGGGGCAACTTCATATTCATGCCCATAGTTTTGGAAAGGGATGTCCAACAAACTCATGTAGGTGTGATGTTCAAATGTCCACACATTTTTGGCCATATATTGTAAGCCTCTGGTGTACAGCACCAGATGTGGACCCAGCCAAATACTTCAGTTCATCTGAGCACTTGAAAAATTATGAAACCAAAGCAATTACCACATGTTAAAAAAGGTCATATTTCAGTGGCATACATAAACATGAACCAGCATGGTTTCAGTAGGAGTCCTGTGTTACAGTTTATCCAATCACATGGATTTATGTAAATGACTTAGCCAAAGGCAGCTATATATTATTATTATAACTTAATCTTAATAATTTTATTATTTTCCCTTATGAAAAGATAGGATTATTTCTGTGGACAAATATTTTTAAAGTTTTTTTTTAAGACTTATTTCTTGTTATCATGTTTTCAGGAAGATATTATCTCTATTAGTAACTTTACAGTGAAGTCTCTCCATAAGCAGCGCATTCCCCAGATCCCTAAGCCACTGTTGGAATAGAAGGCTCCCCCCACTTTCACTGCTACAAGATAAAGCATTTGGCCAGAAGTGTACAGAGGGAAATGGCTTGGCCTTTATATTTATTAATGAATGAATTTATAACTGCTGATCCAAAATAGCAAGTAATGGATCTGGTGCAGTAGTTTTATTACAGGCCTTTGAAATGTAGTCGAATATAAGCGTCCAAAAGGAATTTAGTTTAGGGCAGGACCAGAACTCATATCCAGACCTCTGATATCCTTTGCAAGTTTTAGCTGAATACCTCTGGTGTAGGGTAACTTGTGGTTTAGTGGTTAGCCGGCCTAGCTAACTACAATAGCTACATAATGTAACTTTAGTGCACCACCTTCCAAATTCCAATTGAACCCCTGCCTATACACATTTCCTACATTACAAAGAAGTGGAGGTGCAGACCTGTGCGCATGCTGGTGAAAGGCAGTGTAAACTGGCCCAGAAATTCGTTCCTGGCGGTGTAGTCATGGTCCTCCACCACAAAGCGAATCAGGACCAGCTCAGGCACATGCAGCAGAAACTTAAAGGTGCAGTCCCACCTGGGGTTAAAGCCTGGGTGAAAACACATAGGACAAAAGAACTCGCACACACCCAATGGAACAACAAACAGAATACAGGAGAGAGAGAAACTTGAAACACTGCAATGTCATCATTATATTACCTACTGTACACTATATGTCCATATAATATATTCTGTACTTAAATATCCAGATACCCCTTCTAATTAGTGAATTCAGCTACTTTAAGGTAAACCCACTGTTTACATGGCATTCTATTGCACACACACAGGTTGTATAATCTCCACAGAAAAGTATTGCTAACAGAATGGGATGTTCTGGAGAAGCTGCACATGCCTAAGGTTACCATGCCCAATGCCAAGAGTCAGTCAGAAGGGTATAACAGCCCCCCAAAACTGGGCGGTGTTCTCTGGAGTGATGGAGCTCCACCTGATACCCTTGGCATGAGTTGGAGTGGCATTTCTGATCCAAAACTAATCATCCAACGTCAGTACCTGACCCCACTAATGCTCTATTGGCTGAATGCAATGAATTCCTCACAGCAATGTTCCAACATCTAGTGTAAAGCCTTCTAGAAGGGTAAAGGGAAGGCAAATTCCCTGTTAACATCCTTGAGTTTAAAAGAAACACTGAATGAGCAGGTATCTACAAACCTTTGGACATATAGTGTAGATATTGTTTAAGGCTTGTAAAGGTCAGCTGGCATACCATTATTGTCAATTCGGTGTGTCTTTTTCTTGTTGTTGTCTATGGGAGCCCCATGGGTCTCCACCCACACCAGAGGGTCTACAATGGAGTTCAGCTTCTCTGTGTCTGGCTTAGGCAGCTGCTGGGCTGAGATGACCTGGAACACAACAAACAGTATTATAGTCGCTATAAACATACTGGTCTTTGAGATGTTTGGTGGAAAAGACTGAAGTCAATTCCTTCAACACTTGGTTTATGTTCTAGCTTGAAGGCTACTCTGTTGTTTGGCTTTAGCCTTGATCTGTCCTTCCTCTTGTTACTGAACACAGATTGAGTTATTGGAGTCAACCAGGCTTGAGCTGTCTCAGATATCACTTCAGTGACAAGACATAATTCTGTCAGCTCATTCTGGGTGGGTCATCTTCGTGGGTGTAACATTCCTAAGGGCATGATTCACATCTGCTAGAGTAACTGTTTATTCAGAGATGAGAGAGAAGAGTAAATTTGCAGGCTAGCATATCTCAGTTGAAGTGATATTTTGGCCAAAAATCTAATTTACACAATTTTCCTTTTCCCGAAAATGTAGTCAATCAGCCAAGACATGTTTGATGTTTGAAGTCTACATCTTTTTTTTCGCACTGCAGTTACAAGGCTAATCTAGCTATCAAAGAGTCTCTGTGATCTGGCAATGAGAACATCTGGGGACAACCATGAGACATTTTAGGGTGAGAACATACACTTATTCGGGTGTGCTTGTGTTATCAGCTGTACTCTTGATAAACATGGACTAGAGTAATTCACAGGGTGGCTTTTAGAGTGGACACACACTTATTAGCTGCAGATTTTGCTGCAGTCCAGCACCAAAAGTTTACCGATTTGTTTCTGGATGCACAAACAAGTAATGCAATCCTATAACACTTCAATTAGCACTGGTCAACCTGCACGCCCAAATCATCACATACTCGTCTCAAACCACATCGAGCTGTTAAGTAATCTCAGGTACACTTGCATATGTTCTTTCTGACACTGTATGACATGCTAGTATCTAGTAAGTAGAGATTATTTAACAACTCAACACGGTTTGTGCAGGGGCGTAGCCAAGTCTGAAAAGACGGCCACCCTTCTGACCACCCCAGTTAAGCAAAGTGAGGCAGTCAGCCATCATCAATGAAGCAGCCACCAGAGGAAAGCTGTCCTGCCTCTTCTGTGTAAACGTTCACAGTTTACTGTGAAAATCTGCCATCAGGGTAGCTACAAATAAGTTATCTGTCAGGTGATAGAATCTGAAGCATTCAATAATCAGCTACTTTGCTGAGAAAAAATGGCTTACTGAACATAGGTCAAAACCTTAACATTATTCCTGGTTATTTTGTTTAATAAAGTAGCAAACACTGGACATCTAAATTAGGGAAATACAGTTAAAGGCATCTAAATAAATTTCTACATCAATATAGTACAGTAGTTTTGTTTTGTTATACGTCATGCTGTGGATCGCATGACTTTAACCAATGACACAGTATTCAGCAGTAGAAGTGATATAAGGAACAAAACAATTTTTTCATGGAACCTTATCAACACCAGGAACAAAAACAGTTTCAGCATCATGCTAATTGTTTGAACAGGCTTTCTTGTTAGCTACATTAGCCTTGTAGCTCCAGTGCAAATGTAGCAAACTCTGGACACCAGACATGTCTTGGCTGTTTTACTACATATGGAATAAGGGGAAAATAATGTAAATTTGATTTGTCGTTGAACTATCACTTTAATCACTCTAAGATTTGGGATAGTGCACTAACCTTAATGGTGAGGAGGGTGGGGTTGTGTCCTGGTCCTCCACCTGTATTTTCAGGATTGAACTCAGAGTCGGCCTGGCACAGGAAGCCGGGCTTTAGCACATACCCACAGTGACCGTTGGGTAAGAAACGTCCCCGATTTAGATCCATCTGTTCCCCGTCAGTCTGGAAGTTCAGAGCCACTGCAGGAGACAACGAGTCATATGGATGGATTTGGTAGGCTGCTGGAATGCCATTTCTACACTTCACTATATTTGTACTGTTCTTTTAGATTCACATGAACTGAGGTTTACCAATCTGGCAACCGGCGTTCCACATGTCCTGAGGGTTGTAGTTGGACGACTGCAAGCGTTGACCAGATGGGTAGATCCTGCTCAGCTGCCGACTGTTATGCCGTACAAAGAACTTTCCTGTAAACAGAAGGGCATCCAAGGAAAATGCATGCAGAGCTCAGTAATCACATGCTGAGAAATGTACTGCAGGACTTTTCATCTCTCAATGACGAGCAGATTTAAATAGTTTCAGCAAAGTTTTCCTCTTACCTCTAATGCTTGGTGTCCACAGTCTGCTACTTGAGTTTTTCACTTAAGTAGCTGCAAGGCTAATGTAGCACACAAATAATGTCTTACACCCCACCAATTAGTATCATGCAACCTTCATGCATAAATCATCATACGCTTGGTCCAAACCATGTTGAGTTGTTGAAAAATCTCACATAGACTTTCTGCCACTGTATAACATACTGTAATATATAAAAATGGACTAAAATCAGGCTTCAAGGTGGCTGCTGCTGCTGTTTTTAGCTATGCACCACACATTTGTCCATTTTTATAGATAATAGTGTGTCATACAGTGGCAGAAACCATTTAAACAAGTCTATTTGAGAATACATAACACAGTTTGAGGCAAGTGTATGCTGATTTATATATGCTATTTGCACAATGCTAATCAGTGGGGTATAAGCTTCCATTACTTGTTAGCCACATTAGCCGCATATCTACAGGGCAAAACTATGGAGGGGTTTACATTGTACACATTTTTTAAGGACTGAGGAATCTAATGTTTTCAAATATAAAGACATGTTTTTCTAATTGTTTTTACCGTCTGCTTGATCGCTTTTTTCACAAAAAACATCAATGCTTGGCGCTAAAACGCGAGAACTACAGGTGCCCCGAGTTAAAAAAAAAAACTTGAAGCAGTCGAATAATCTATGTCTTATATATGCATTTTTTTCTGTGCTGCCCAATCAGACCAAAAGAAAAGCTCACTTAGAAAGCAGGTTTAGCTTATTTTTACAAGCAGCACCACACTTGCTAGTCAATATCACTACCTAAAAGAGCAAGTGACAACTATCTGAACATCATATCAGAATGACAGCCAGCAGGTACAGCTAATTGACAATAGTGATGCTATTGCTTAGCAACAGTGAGATGTGCAACCAGAAGCTGTGTTCCAAAAATGCAGTGTGAAAAAAACAGTGCAGTGCACTTCATATTTTTTCAGTCTTAACATCCCCCTAAAGAAGTAAGCTCCAAACATAAAACATGGCTTGGCTGATGTTAAGGTAGCACTTTAATAAACGTGCAGTCATGAGTACATTCTGAGGATAGGATACAATCCAAAGCTATTATTTTTGTGACTTAAACATTTCCACTGTGTCTCATGGACAGAAATATAACAGAAGCACATTCCACACACACAGGGTACCTGAGTTTTTGATGTGTTTGAGGGCCTCACTCTCAGAGAAGGAGGACATCTCATTGGGGGGTTTCTTGGCTGCCTGATCGAAGCCCTTGAACGGGATACTGCGCGTGTACACCACCAGATCAGAAAGCTCTGGACTCAGCTTAGAAACCTTCGGAGTAGAAGCACACGTACACTGGAGAGCGGTGGACAGTCACAGACATGCAGCAACACACACACAGACAGACAGCACGACACAAAAGACATCAAAAATGTGGACAAACTCTGAAACACAGGTACAAAAAGAAAATGCACAAACGAGCCAAACAGAACACTGAGCACGACCACACACAACTATATTTGCATGCACACACAAGCAAACAAATCAATTGAAAAATTAATGTTCTGAATAGCCACCAAAAGGAGCAGACTTGTTGCTTATTGGCACTCTGAACTTGTCAGGTTGTAGTTGAAACCTAGAATCCTGGTGAGCTTACATTACAAATATGTATGTGTAGATATAGCACCACTCAAACAAATTTCTGGTCATATTAATCATTTTTTGTTACTTTGTTTAGGAATGACTAATGCAATGCATTTTAAATAATAAAAACCTGACTTGCTTTATTCAGCTGTTTTTTTGCATGCTATTTTATGACAGGATATTGCTTTTTAACGTTTTCTTTAGTTTTTTAGCTCAAACTGTATTTCCACTTTTAAAAAAAGTATTAAAAAACAATTACGTGTTCAGACCTTAGATATTTACAAAGATTATGTTATGATCTATTTCATCTCAAGGCATTAATTGAGATAGTAATAAGCTAAATATACAAACTCATTTCCAGAAAAGTTGGAACAGTAAGTAAAATTCAAATAAAAACAGAAAGCAGTGATTTATAAATCTACTTTGACCTGTATTTTAATGAAAACAGTACAAAGACAAGATATGTAATGTTTTACCTTATCATCTTTATTGTTTTTTGTAAATATACAGTCATTCTGAAACTGATTCCTGCAACGTGTTCCAAAAAAGTTGGGATGGGAGTAATTTAAGATAAGGAACATTGTAAAATGTTCTGTTGTGAATATTCTGCTAATGCAGACATCTCACAATTGATCAATATCGTCCTTTGCCCAAATGAGTTTTATTAACGCATTTTCTTCTTAAACACAAGCCTGGAAGAGATTTTGGCTTCTGCCTTACTCTCAAAACAGATTAGATGGAGTGGGGTTTTATATACCATGACTCCGCAATATAATCAATGTATCACTATCCTGACAAGAGCAAATACCTGATTAGATAACTGAAGTTTCTGAAGTAGCATTTAGAGAAAAACACGTTTTGACAGTTAGAATTGCTTACAGAATTAAAAACTTTCACTTAAAGGTTAATACCTTTCCTGTTATCTTCAAAAAGCAGAAGTGATATAACCCATGACTGCAAGCTGTTTGAGACATTATCTCATATAGGCTTTTGACCTTTTCTGACCCAATATACCAGAGAATTGTGTCCTGGTTCTGGTTTAAGGCCTTAATTGTGGAACACAAAAAGTCAGGACAGAGTCCACAGTGAGGTATTGCAAGGCGTTCAGGTATTTCACCCACTACACTGCTTGATATCAGAGAAAATTCAGGGAGTCCAGAGAAGACTCTGTGCACATAAGAAAAAGCTGAAAACTACCAATTAATGCCCACGACCTTCAACCCCTCAGACAGGACTGCAGCATGAACAAGCATGCTTCTGTGATGACTATCACTGCATGGGCTCAAGAGTTTGACAAACCTTTGTCAGTAAACACCGTCTATTGCAGTGTCCACAAATGCAAGTTAGGACAGTACTATGCACAGTGGAAGTCATATGTCAACAGAAATGCTGCCAACTTCTCTTTGCTTGAGCTTATCTGAAATGAACTGATGCACATAATGGAAATGGGGGGTTATTAGTGGGTAACTTGTACATCTGTGAAGACACCATCAATGCTGAACACATTTTGGAGCAACATAGGCTGCCTTTTACATGCCGTCTTTTTCAGGGACACCCAAGCTTACTTAAATATGACACCACCAAGCCACATTCTGCATGTGTTACAATCGCATGGCTGTGTAATCAGAGAGTGCAGGTGCTAGATTGGGCTGCTTGCAGTCCAGAACAGTTTCCCATTGAAAATGTGTGTCTTATTAAGCTCAAAATACGACAAGAAAGGCCCTGTACAGTTGCATAGCTGAAGACTTGTATAACAGAAGAATAGCAAAAATTCCACTTTCAAAATTGGATCATTTGGTGTCATCAGTTGCAAAACGATAATTACGTGTTTTATAAAAGGAAAAGTGATGTAACACAGTGGTAAACATGCTTCTGTCCCAACCTTTTGAAAGGCATTGCAGGCATCAAATTTAAAATGAGCATACATTTACAAAAAACAAATGACATTCATAAAGTAAAACACAAAATATTGTGTTTTCAATTTAATACAGGTGAAATAGAATTTACTAATCACAGCTTTCTGATTTTATTAGCATTTCCAATTCTGCTTTTTTGGAATTGGATTTGTATACAAAATCATCATTTATAGGGTACTTTATATTAGGAGGTGAAAATAAACATAATTAAGGTATAGGGCCATTTAACACAAAAGGATTTTAGTCTAGAGTCCAAGTCAGTTAAAAGTCTGAAATGTGTTTGGCAGAATGATCCATATATGTTTGCAACAAAACTGGTCTGGTTTTAAATTATTAACAAAACAAAACACCAATTCCAAACTGTTCAGCAAGTAGTGTATATAGTGGCCTATAGACTCACCTTCTTGCCTTCTTTCTTTGCCTTGGCTTTACCCTCAGCTTTAGACTCGTCCTCAGAGCAGCTGGACTCAGATGAGCTGGAGCTTTCCTGCTCCACTCTCTCTTTCTTTCCCTTCACCAGAATCTTCCCTTTCAGCTCCTAATGCAACATAAGCCTTCATATCAGACCAAAATACAACAATTATATTTCAATTTCTTTTTGAATAAGCACTGTTTTTTCACCCAGAGCGATTCTGTTGGACAAAAAAGAAAATGAAAAAGGGGCTTGGTGGAAGGAGTTGCCAGTACTACCAGGTGTGTTAAACAGTGGCCAAAAGCATTTTTTAAATGTTTACTTCGACGTGTTAACCGTTTGCTACATTGCACATTGCAGTATTTGAAGAAGTACTTTTGCAAATGCTTTATTTAAATATTTACTCAAACAAGTCATAATTTAGTATTACATGAAAATATTTGGGTTGAGAATTGACGTACTTGACAATTTCCTAAACAAAAGCAGGGCAGATGAGTATAATACATTTTAACCTCATTTCTGACATGAACACCTGCTACTTCAGAAACAGCAATGATTTGTATAAGTAGTGGTGGCTGAGAGGTGGCTGGTCTGTGGATTGTTGTGGCTGATAACACTCAGTACTGTGTTTGCATTATAACACATGCTCAGAGGGTAACACCTACCTTACACAAACAGGACCTCTTAAACACTCATTGCTACCATTTTTGTCCAGTTTAGAGGTCTACAAAAGGTAGTTGTACTACATATATATATATATGGTTTTGGGTTGACCAGTGCATTTAGCATAGTATTAGACTTTAGTCCATATCGTGCAGCCCTAGTAGAAACACAGTACACACTCACAAACAAATGTCCAAATGTCCACAAACAGCGTAATCCACAAGACTCCATTTGGCTCTGTCCTGATTTGAAGAATGTTTTTTTTTCCTGGACAGGATTAGCAAACTGCATTAGTCAGTGAGCTGTCCGCCAAGTCTGGACATGGTCCACACCCAAAAGCAATCAGACATCCAAACTCTGCTGGGTCCAGCATATGTAGGAAGATTCATCAGTATTTCTCAGATATCTCCTCAATTTCATTCTACTCTATGCTAAAGGGGATTTCCACCGATATTTCAAAATTCCTGCATAATTCAGGCAATGAGATATAAACAAATTCATTTAGATTAATTTGATACAGAAACTTACCAGCTCAGATTTCTTTACAGTGGTGATGATAGGGACCCTGAGTCATAATGACTATAATGCAAATTTTATTTGAGCCATTTTATTTATTATCCAAAATCACCAGTACACCTCGTTCTGAGGTTTTATGTATAGTGTTGATATTTGCAAAAAAGTGGTAAATCTGAAAGAACAGGTTTTCTTTGGGAATGAATTTGCCTTACAACGTCCTGAATGTACCTCTCTGGCATGAATGGATTTAAAATAAATACTTAAATAAATAAATAAATCCACACCCCCATCTCAAAACTACTGCACAGCAGTAGAACACGCATAGAGGCTCATCATTTCATAACTGATGGAGAAAGGAGAAACAGACATGGCTCCTCAGGCATTTTGAGCATATGGCAGTGTGATGCCAAGCGGAAAGTCAAAGAATACAATGAAGCTGGAAAGTCAAACAAGGGTAAAAAAACAGCATATATAATTACAAATGGCTGAAAATGAAAAAGTAGACAGACAAACAGGATCATGAATATGAAAACTGCAGTATGCATTTAATCACACAGTACCTCTGGTGAGGGTAGGCTCTCAGAGAGCTGGTCGTTGAGGGGCTTTGTGAGCAGTTTGTCTCCCAGGATGGAGCGCAGCTGCCTGGCCATGATGGTCTGCTGCTCCAGTGAACAGTGGTTCTCCAGAGAGAGAATCAGAGGATACGGAGAGGCCTGGAGAACACACACAGGAGCAGGATAGAGCAAAACTAATTACACATACTCATGACACCTGGGAACAAATCACACACATGATTCTGTAAGTTCAACATGCAGATAACATAGCAATAGTAAATGCATGTATAATGCAAAAACATACCACATTTTGGTGAAAAATCACCAGTGTTGGCAGGAGGCATATACTAGATACCCTACAGCTATATATTAAAGGGCCCATATCCTACATCATTTTTCTTGCATTATTTGTTTTCGTGGAGGTCCACTTATGCAGTTTGAGTGGATTAACTGACTAAAACCGTTGATTTTTTTTTTTATTTTTACATGACCATTTTCCAACCTCTCTTTATACATTAGAACTAAACAGTAAACAGGCTGTTTTTGTTACTGTGCCTTTAAGACTGTTATATTTAAATGACTTCTGTTCTGACTGGCTGCCCTGAATTGTGCTTCATTCAAAAAGCAGTCTGGGCTGAAACACTCCTTTTAACTTCAGTGTGAATGGGTGGTGCTAAACTACTGTAGAAGGAATAGGTGGATAAATGTAAATGTGTTGGTTTTTCATGACATCATAAAAACAGTGAACTCAAACAGGTGGTTTTTGCTGTTTCCATACAAGTGTTGTATGGACTGAAGACTGAATGGTGTATTCTGAAACTTTAACAGTGTTTGCACACTACATCAAACTCTTATTCTAAAAAAGGCAGGGGGAATTTGGTTTTACAAAATATGGGCCATTTAACTATCGTTAAAGTAAAAGTTTATTAAGTTAAAGTAATTGCTTGCCATGTTCACCAATTCAAATTTACACAATTTTTTCCTTATCTCAAATGTAGTCAAATACATTTACATTAACATTTATACATGTGGCAGATGCTCTTATCCAGAGCCACTTATAATCAACATTAATCATGTTACAGACATAGGCGAATGTAGTGTTAGCAGTCTTGGCCAAGGACTCTTATTGGTATAGCATGGTGTGCTTGACGCTGTACCATGCAGAGTGCATGCCTAAATCATCTCACACTTGCCTCAAACTGCATTCAGCTTTTAATAAATCTCAAATAGATTTGTTTCTGTGGTTTCTGACACTGTATAACAAGGTTGGGATGTAACGGAATACAAGTATTCTGAATCATATTGTAAAAGCAATATTCAGCATACAGATACTTCTTAGATTTTAGCAGAAAACCTTTAGAATGCTTTAATTTAATCCATACTTACCCACTAAATTAAACCATCTTTAAAGAAACACCATTAGTGCTTGTTTATTAACTATTTTAAAATCTGGGCAAGCAGTATGAAATGGTATTCTAAAGAAGAACTCAAAAAACAGCTTCTTAACAAACACTGAAGTTCCTGCTAAAGTAGACTGATAAATTAATTTGATAAGCCAGTTATTAAAATCAGTGTTACTGAGCTCTGCTAAAGCCTGAGTGGACTGCTAAATCAATTTGATAAGTCAGTTATTGAGCTCAGTCTTACTAAGCACTGCTAAAGCCTGAGTAGACTGATAAGTGAATGAGATGATCCGGTTATTAATCTCAGTGTTACTAAACTATTGAGGGATGATGGAACAGTATTTTTATGTATCGCAATGGATTATGTTGCCGAATATATTTAGGACAATGTAATTAGTATTCAGCCAACATATCCAAGTATTCTGCCCAACATTGTGCATGACAGACTGTAATCTATAAAAATAGACAAACGTACAGACATTTAAATGTTAAGACGGCTGTTACTACTGTAGAGTTACGAAACACATTTTTTTGTATTTGTTACAAAGTCTAATTCTCTATGTAATTGTGCCTCTGCAACACATAGTAAAATATGTATTTATCCCAGTGCAGTCGCCTACAAGTGGCTTTGGGAACAAGAACAATACAGCAATATATGGCAACAATTTTCTATTCCACCTTAAAGGCATATTCAGCGATGGTCTGCACCACCTCTCTGAAAGGCACTTTGGAGGTGAGGGTGTGTCCGTGGTAAATCAACGGCTCCTTATCTCCGTCCCAACAATCCAGCTCAACACAGCGGCAGCCAGTGCTAAGAGCCCTGCACAATACACACACATACACACACACACACACAAAAGGTATGAGCGAATTTACCAGCAAAGGTGCTACATTTGTGCGTCCAGTGTACGTAAACGTGGTTGTTTTACCGGATGTAAGGATCTGTGCTGCTCTCGCCCACAAGCTGGTCTTTAGTAAGGTAGGTGTTGTGTGAAGAGGAGATGAAATAGTGACTGAGCGGTTGGCTCATGTCCTGATAGACTCGGCTATGCTCTGGATCAAACACGTCATTCTCCTTTGACAGCATGTACATGGTGAAGCCGTTTGCCGTCATCAGCTGGTTCTTCTTAGCTGTGTTGACCAAAACACACATGTTCGTTAGATCATTAGGACAAGTTTCTCCACACTACATTTCAAAATGTTGGTAATCGCTGTTTAAAATCAAAGCGGAAATCAGTGTTTTCTATGATATAAAACTGATTATTGTGTTTCCCACACATAGGCTATACTTGGAAGGACCCCCAAGGTGACAGAAACTATAAAAGTATATTTTGTCCCATTTTAACAATTACCAAAATATTTTATATTGTCATGAATAAAGAAAGATACACTTTGTGACATGAGATGAAATATCAGCTGTATGTGTTAAAACAGGCGTTCTTAATCCTTTTCACAGTGCCACCCTTTTTTGGTTTTAAAAATATTTTGTGACCCCTTCTTTGCCAACCCACTCCTCAGCCCTCCAGCCCCCCTACGCCACACATACCGTATACACATTAAAGAAATTACAGAGGAATGATCAAATGGTAAGTCTACTCACTTACTGGGCCTACATTCCATAGCTAGCACTTCGTCACAAATCACAAATCTTTTGCCTGGCGCTGAAAAATTACTTTATATTTAGTGACTAATTAAGTCAATAACGAGCTCATCAAATAGAACTTTGTAATTGACATTAGTCTGTCTTCAATGGCCTGTAAGTGGAGCCATTCAGCAGAGCTTGCATGCACTCATCAAAATTTTCTTCCCTGTGTTTGATAAGGTATATATCTTGTAGCACCTCTTTTGTGACACCCAGGTTAAGAACCCCTGTGTTAAAACACGTCTTTGGTTCAATACTCCATGCTCAAAAGTTACATTACAAAAATACATAATACTGCACAACGTATAACAGCGTTTGCAAGGTGTGTATAATGTGCTTAAAGCTGATTTTCTTAGTTAAAGTGCTTTGAGTGTTCACTGCCCTTTTATGCCGTTACAGCATAATATGATGTAAAAAGAAGAGGCCGTTTTACGTGTAGTGTCTCAAAGCGGTCTTAAGCAAGTCTTCTTCCTCTTTGTGTGGTCCTACACCGGCAGATATAAGGTTTACCAGGGAAAATTACTGAGAGAGTGGTTGAGCCAAAATTTTTTTTGTGAGATGGTTTTGTGTAAAACACACCAGTAATAAAACACAGCAGTAATTCTCATTTATGAATAAGCAAAGATGTTACTGCCGTGCTATTTGCTCTTCACAGTAAATCTGATGTTTCGTATTATGAATTTGGCTCAGAAGCTCACTGAGGATGAAACAGAGGCTGTTTTTGAGAGCGTATAATAAAGCAGGTTGTTAATCGTACCCCACTCGTTGAGCTCATATGTTAGGATGAGGCTCTGTGCGTGCACAAGTGTGTTGTCCTCTCCCTGGTCATTCAGGAAGTCCCGCAGGTCCACAGTGGACAGCACACGGCCATTAGAGGAGTACTGACGGAAAACTGCATCCAGCTCTGGACGACGCAACAGCTCGCGACAAAACAGCTCGATCTCTCCGTATTCCAGGCGGCCGTTCGCTGACTGGTCACACTTCTGTTGCATACACATGAACACAGCTGGTCTAAGACTACATAAAATCTGAAAAGTGGCATAAGGTCAGGAATAAACATGCACTGCTCAATTTTTAGTCAGAATAACTAGTCTGCTATAATAGTGTATTACTGATAAAATATGCACTATTACTACACGCTACCAAATGTGGAATCACCATATTAATTTTTATTTTACATACAATATTAACTACTAAATGAATCACAAGAGAAAAGTTAATAAAATGATGAATAGTGTAGTGTAATTTCTCTCCACTTTTGAAATATCTTGAATTTTTGGACATTAATTTTATCATTATTTGATTCTTAATGTTATATGTTTCTTAGTTATTTCAGAATCTTGCACAGCTCTGACACATCTAACATTTCTTCCTCTAGTCTCCAAATTGTTTAAAATCTGTAAAGTTGCACAGAACTAGCATAATTGAATCATTGTATACATTTGTATCTTCAACCAAATTGCAACAAATATTATTGACAGCACTGATTCCAAATTTTGAATGGTTGTGTAGTACATCAGCAGAGTTTTGTCTTTCAGTTTACCAACATTTGCCAATGATTGTGTTGATGTAATGTATTTTATTCATGTAAAAATAATGTACACATCTGAATCAGGTAAATTCACTACTTCACTGTCAGTGTAGTCCTGGTCAGCTAAACCCTTGTGCATTTCTAATAAAAGGCAGTAAGAGAGACAGTTAACCTTGAACAGGCTGAAGGCGTACTGCTCATTCAGGTCTATGTTGATCATCTGAAGGAGCGTCTGTACTTCATCATACGTCATCTTCCCGTCATGGTTCAAATCTGCCTGTCTCAGGTATGCATGGATCCAGGTGGGAGGAGTCAAGAGTTAAAACAAAAGGCTTGTGATGCCACATCAACAACCAAAAGTGTGGAATGTTAACTTAATAATAAGGGGAAAAAAGCCCAGTCCTGATTTGCCAGAATAAGGGGTGGACAAAAAGAGATAAAATAACTAGTTTAACAAACATCAAATAATCCAATCCATCACAATAATGAGAAAGAAAGAGCAAATCAATACCATTTTCAGAGAAATCTTATTGACTGCTGTTTTTAAACATTGTTTCCCTTAAGTGCTCAATCAAAAAAGAAACAACTGGTCAGAAATAACAACTGGTGCCATTCATTTTTGCTAACTCTTGGAGGGAACAATGGGCCTCATTCACCAATATCTTCCTAAGTTTTTTCTTAAATGTGTTCTTGAGAAAGGTCCTAAGAAAAAGTCTATGTCAGATTCATCACGTGTTTTTAAAACCACAGAACTGCTCACATGTTTGTGCTCTTGAGTGTTTGTAGATTCTGTTTTTACCTGAGAACAAATCCCACATAAAAAAATACTGGTGAATGTCAGAATCTTCATGAAAACAGCACAAGAGTTTTAAGAAGAAATTTCTTCTTAAGAACAGTTGATAAATGAGGCCCAATGTTCTTAAAGCCACAGTGTGTCCACCTCTCAAGGGAAATGTTTACTTGCATGCAACATGCAGAAGAAGATTTGTTTCTCTCCAAATTTCAGTACAAGAAGCACCAGTAGCTTCTTTGTTTGATTTGCAAATTTTCTGCTTTTTGGACAATTCTCAGTAACTTGACACATCCTTACAGTACATCAAAACTAGTGCTGAGTTGTCTTCTCACAGTGGAAGGATGGATAGAAACCCCTGTGGATTTTTTCAGATCTGAAACAAGAGCAGAGCTTTCTTTCCTCTCTCTCAAAGATGGAAGCTTTAAATACTGTGTATGTGATGGTGACAGTTTTGGTGGTCTAGCAGGTCTTGCACAGTCATTGGGACTTTTCCATAACTTTTAATATTTATTTTGAACTCCAGTTTTGGAGTTTTTTTTAAGGATGGGCACTATGACAATATTGATCATTAATGTGATAAATTACATAAAACACTTCCCACCTGCCTGTTTGATTGAAAAGAGAGCATAATTGGCCCTGATTAATGCTCAGTGCAGCAAAGTATATGAAATGCTGAATACAAAACATTGGATTCATAGTTTTTGTAGTACTTTTTAAATATGGCACTACTTTGTTCCGACTTAAATGTCATAAAATGTCACAAAAAATGAATATTGTGACAAACTGTGTATCATGAAAAATATCTTGCAATGTATTACATTTTGCCATATCACCCACCTCTACTGTTTTTCTATGTATTTTCCTTTGACTATTAACTTCTATCTAATCTCCTCAAAAACATGCTGAAAAATAAATAACTTGTACTTCATGGCCACTTTGAAGGGTGGTCTCTGACCTTTACACAGTGCTGTATGTGCAGATGGTTAGAGATGCCCCTCACACAAAGTTTAAGGCTGAATTGTCAGGATAAGTGCTGCTGAAGGATATTGGTCAAGTTTTTCAGTCTGGCTCATGTTGTTGACTCTCTCCTGTAGGGTGCGGATGCCGCAGGCCCAGTGCTGTGCTTCCTCCCTGCTGTGGCACTGCAGGTCCAAACTCTTCCGTCCACCCTTAAACACAATGGTCAGACACTGCTCCTCCGGCAGAGAGCTGGTGAGCCTGCGCAGTGTCTCTGACTGACAGCCCTCACGCACACACTCCACCTCCATCACTGAGACTGTGAGAGAGACAGAGAGTGTATACAGAGTACAGTAGAAAAAAAAATGTTAAAACAGAAAAAAAACACAAATATGTACCAGTCAAATATTTGCAAGCTCACAAATACAGGGGTAAACAAATAAGTAAACAAATGAGTAAACATTATGATACAGACTTAAATTATTCCCCTTACTGCTAAATGTCAGTGAACAAACACTGGGAAAGGCTGTTCAAAGGCACAAAGTAGCACAGTGACACTGGACATGTGAAGCTGGTCTTTTCCTCTCTAATGAAAGACCAGTTTCTCACCAGTGGATAATCTGTGTACACCTCTGTATTTGCTTACTGTATTTTTAATTCTTTCTGAGACACCCCAACACAAACATACTACAGATCATGAATAATTCAGATGTCCCATATTTGCGGTATAATGCTGTCTGTGTGTTAACTGTTCAAGCACTGTTGTTTAACTAGGACATCATAACAAAAATGGAGGCGTAATGAATAAAGAGGAGTTCTTTGTCCAGCTCTAATGGCCCACGGACAACTTGTACCACAGGAAATCCCCTGATATTTGCTCAAATTTATTTAATTCATCCCAAACCCAAGAACATACTGGGACCTGATGTAAAGCTCAGATGGGTCCATTCAACAGTACAAGAAAGTCAGACAGAGTGCCCTCTATACTTCACATACAACAGCAAGGAACCACTGCATAATGTTATGGCACAGATGGGACTCCCAGGATGTGCAGAGTAAGGGTGTGAACAAGTAATCAAATACATGTACGTTTATGGCTTTTAGCAGTAGCTTTTATCCATTTAAGTGCCAGTATTCGAATGCTGTAAACAGTATTTGGGTTTTCATTACATGGCATCATGGGAAGTCAGGGAGACAGCATGGCAAGTAAATACACTACTGTTCAAAGGTTTAAAATAACAGGCCATATTAACACACACACACATACACACACACTATCTAAGCCGCTTCTCCTTCTGAGTCGCGGGGGTTCTAGAACCTATCCCAGCGGTCACTGGACAGAAGGCAGTAAAGTGCCATATTAACAATTTTTGTTATTTTATGTATGATAATAACTACTTTTTGAAATATCTGATGTGATACAGCTTTTTCAATCATTTTAGAGTGAGTGAGTCAGTCAGCAAATGAGTGAATGAATCAGTCAGTGTGAGTGGGTCAGTCAGTCAATCAGTCAGTCAGTCAGTCAGTCAGTGATTGAGTGACTTGGTGTGACCAGGTTACAGATACTACATTTGATAAAGCTTTTGCTGTACATTCAACATTTCAATTCATCATTTTTCTGTATCACAGACACAAAAAAACACAAATACATGCACTTGTGCATTAAATTAAACTATATTTTAAACATTCATGTATTTTATCATATTGTATTTGTCCACTGTAACCATTATACTCTGCTTTGTGTAAGAACTAAGGATGCTTGATGATGTCACAATCATGTCAGTATATGCAGGTAATTATACATTTAAAAATATATTGCCATAGGACAGATGTTTAGACTTGACCAATATTTCAAACTGATATTTGATGATATACTTCTCTGGAGGACCAGAATGGTTAGGCGATGCAGGGTTACTGTGCTAAAATGTAAATGTTATATTTGGCTATAAAGCTAATGCTGGTGGATTTTCGTGCAAATTTTCTACCAAGACCCCCGCTTAACTGGCGTTCTGTGACTTATTGCATCATCAAATGTGAAAATTAGAATGTGCAACCCTAATCTAGAGACGCCAACCATGCACATTCACATGTGCCAAAGCAAGAAATTCTGAATGGGTGTGCACATATATGCAGGAAGCCTTAACCACATCACAAAATAACATCACTCCTTTGACTCCAAGCAATTGAAGAGTAGGTTTCTATGTACAGACCGTGCTGCTGCCAGACCAATGATTACACTTCATGTAAAAAATATGGAAGAAACCAGAAAGTGGAGGGCCACGTTCTTCCCACCCCATCATGGCCTGTAATTACAATGTTCAGTGCAGTTTACAGGGCAGGGAGGGATACCCCCCTGTCTATGCTACAAATAGACCAGGCCTGTAATAAAAGACGGTGCTGAGGCCAGCAGACCTGGGCAGTGGGGTGTTTATACAGCCATAATTAGGAGGTATATTTAAATATTCTCCACCTTTCTGAAAGAAGCCCTCACACTGCAGCCTCAGAGAGCTGCACTGCTGTCCAGTCAAGCAATGTCCAAGTTAAATTCCTCAACATTTCTCAACTTTTTTCATAACTATATGCTCCTTTCTTCACCTGCAGCTTGTCTGTGTCCAGTTTTAATTAGATCTGCAGTTTCCTAGTTTGAGCCTTTGAACTATTGATAGTAGTCCAGGCTGAAGCCCAGCTGTTTGTGCGCTGTATCTTGCTATGACAAAATACATAATTGCTTTCAAGTACAGCTTTTAAATGGCTTTTCAAGCAACACCTTCGGCAGACCATGCTGGACAGTCCTAAGAATAAATCAACCAGCAGCAAACTCACTAAAGCAAATGCAAAATGGAAAGCTACTGTTACTCTTAAGATCCTCCACAATACATAAGCTGTATGAAAGAGAAGAGAGCGAGAGGGCTAGTCACTGGAACTATTGACTATACAGCAAGTATTCAGACACTTTTATTTTTGTGATTTAATGTACTCCCAGTGCACATATCCACTTCAAATTTACACATCTAATATCTTTTGACTTTGTACCTGAACAAAATGTTTTCATAAGTATAAAAAAATATAAAAAGCAAAATTGACAAAGAAATAGTATTATAAATTGATAAAACTGGTACTTTTGCAATGTCGCTGTTGGAATTACAGCTTTGAGACGTCTAGGAAGGAATTCGACTTTTGCAGCGTTGTGGTTCAGTTTTGGCTCTTTCTTCTTGGCAAACCATCTTCAATTCCCCAAAAATAATCCAGGTAACTGCAACAATTATTTTAATTGTTCGACAGCCCCAATTTCTGCATATAATGACTGCAATTGTTTAGCAGTAGTATTGAAATGCATTGGTGAATCATTAATGTGACATGGTAAAAAGCTGGCATGCATTACTGTTTTTGGATCATATGAATATCTTGAGTCATCAAAACACCCAGAGAAACACTCATATAGAACTGTGATTGGTCAAGGCAAACTGTGAAAAACACTGTAATTGGTTAGAGGGCTCATTTGCATATTGCAGTCTTCTGTGGCATCAGTGTTACAAAAGTCAATGTCGCAATAAGGATTAGCACTGATAAAATGACACATTGTGCAGTCCTCGTATTTGAAAAATATCTGTTCTGACAGTCAATTCCTCTTCATAAGACTCCCTAAGACAGACCTGTTCCCAGCCCCCCACCACACGCCCCACTGCTCTGCACCCCTGACACCCCCATGGCCCCCTGGATGATGGTGACTCACAGGTTTTGGGCTTGCTGAAGCTCTTGTTGGACTCGCAGTGCACAGTGACGCCATCATCCAGCAGCTTCAGTGTGCGCCTCCTCTGCCAATGAGGAGAACGAACCTTCAGCATGGTGGAGCCCTGCAGCATCGTCTTCACATCCTCATCATCCTTCACACCTACAGAGAGAGACAGACAGAAAGGGACAGAGATAGAAATGGGGGATCTTTTATGAAAGCCATTTTTGAAAAGAGGGACAGAACACTAAATCAGTGCGCATATCAATCAGTGTGATTCTGAGAAGCCTGTTTGGCGTCTAGAAGGCTGTTTGGTGTGTAAATGATCCCAAGCCTGAGAGACCACCCCAAGCTTACTAAAAGCTTGAAGAGACAGAGAGAACTGGGTTGGATTTTATGACTGTCTATAAATCTAATTATGGCAACTTAGTTACAAATATGGACAAAACATAAATGTAATGTAATTGTACTGCTATATACCGTACTGTGATTGCAATATGCCTTATAATGCATTTAAAACACACTGGTGAATCCTTGGTATGAGATGATAACACATTACATTTAGTTGGTCCATATGTTCTCTGCACTTGTCTGAGGACAATTTTGAAGAAATTTCCCAAATCGATCAAACCTTATGGCTAAAAATTTAAAAATTTAATGTTTCACATTCAGTTCAATCTTTAGGGCAGTAACTGGTTAAAACACACCAGAAATTCCAAATTTGATTGTGAATGAAAGTATGAAAATTACGTCATGAAAAATGTTAAATGTTGATCTTAACAAACCCAAATAAACTAAACAAAACAAATATAGAACTAAACCAAAATTCATCACTTAGGTCAGGACTGTCCAAAACTTTTATCTAGGGATAGCCAAAAAGTTCTTGGAGGATCAAAGGTCAAAAAGACAAAACAGTAAACAAATAAATAGGTAGGGTACTAAATGAGTTTTGTTATTAATTTTATAACAACATTTTATTACTAAAACTCATTAATGTTAATAGGAAAATAAGAATTCAATAAAGTTATATACAGCATTAAAATCCATTGTGAGGGTTAGGGTATATTTTTGTTCTTTTAAATTCAGTTGTTGAGTAAGAATGGGTAAAAGTATCATGAAATTATTAATATAATTTTTATCAAAATCATTTTTTTTGCATATTGCAGCCTTCTGAGTTATATGACAAATTTCATGATGGACAAATCAAATCACTGTCACAGATAATAAAAGATGAGAGACACAGTCTCCTGAGCACAAAGCAAAGGAGATCGACAGCATTCATCAGAGAAGACTGAAGTCTGCTTATGCTGTTAAATTATTCAGTTAACAGTTTGGATTTGCATCTTGGACTCTTGACCTGCACTAAATGCACTCTGTAACATCACTACATTAAGGATGAGCAAATGCACTCTTTATTTCCCTTCTTTCCATAAAGGTTCTTTCAAACAGTGTCCACTGTCCACTATCTGGTGTAGCCATAACAATGACACAGGCATGGTGACGTGGCCCAGGATGATATTATTTGCTAAACACAAGTCAGTCAGAAAGTATCCTGGCACTTTTAGCCCATAGAGGGAGGAAACTCCTACTTAACATTGTGGCCCTTATCTCCTGACCCATTATAGCTCCACAGCTTGAGGTCATCCACCTTGAGCCTCTCAGAGAAACACAAGCCTGAGTTCTTTTCAATGCTGACCTTCTGTGTTTGCTGTTATCTAATTAAATAAAGCAACTACACTGTCAGAAATCGAGGCACAGTAATGGTCCACATCTTTAGGCCCTCCAGGCCTAATCATCTAAACACAAAGTGTGTGTGTGTGTGTATGTATATAAACTAGGAGAGAGGAGCTGGCTAGCATTAGCTTAGCTAGCATAATAACAGCTCTGTTTACCACAGAATATAATCAATTCTGGCTAACTAAAGCACAAACACAAGTTTAGATTACAATGATTCAAACCTGAGAGACTGAAGTCGAGCAACTAGTGCTGAAATTAAACACGTTAGCTTAACTTAACATTAGCTTAGCAAGCGGGCTACAAATGCGAACAGCGCCACCGACACACCACAGTACAGGTTTGATTCTGACTAACCGCTACTCTGCTGAAACAAGTGTTAATAATAAAAACTACTGTCTTATTTAGCAGACCAAACAAAAAACAATCATAATAGAAAATACAACCACAGTAAAAAAAATCATTTAAATACAAAAAAACACTTTCATAAATGTTAAGGATGCACTTATGAATGTGAAAGGTCAACTGTGTGTAAATTGGTAGAGTGTTTCCCAGAATACCAGGCACCATCATCCTGAATTTTGGGGCTAACTGCATTATCATCTCCTCAGACTAATCAATAAACTGACTGGCCTGACATTTACCTTCCACTCAGCACTAGTACAGCAATACACTAATCATCGAATGTAGTTATAGATCCTATGATAGTACAATAACAGAAGCTTTCATGGTCAGACGTGTAGTGTGTTGAGTGGTTTTGACCGTCACTGGTCCTGTTTCTAAGCTCTCTAATGAAGTACATCTACAACCACAAACAACATTGTCTAAAATGGCATCAAGTATCTTTTTAATCTCACTGTAATTTGATACCAACACATTCCCTCATATGCGATTACAGGTTTCATACTTAACCAAAATAGTGATGTATTTAAAACTTCTACAGTTCTTTAATCACTATTTAAAATGTGCAAGGTAATGCATATTCTCAACTGAATAAATCTCTTTAGCTCTTAAGGTTTACATAAAATTGTTTATTCATTAGAGACATATAAGTACTTTTCTTTTATCTTTACTAATAAAATAGAAAAAAGACTGTATTGTGGCACTGGCGGTTAAGTAACACAGATGTGGTCTTTAAATACAAATAAATCCTAATGTACTGTGCTGTAAGATATACTATAATCTTATATATTCTAATCTACGTTTTAATTTAATCTTCCACATGCTCAGTTCTGCTCATGTGAGTCATTACAGCCAGCCAGGGAGCCCATAACCAGATTCTCTGCATTCAACAAGCCTATTATTGCTGCTGGAACAAAACCTCTCTAATTTTTTAGGGTTTTTGTTTTTTTGAAAGTGCCATTTGCTCTTTGCTTTTCAATATGAATGATAATAAAACATGAATGGACCAAAAGAAATGACCCAAACAAAATCTTGCTTTATTAACTGCAATCCACAGTTAAAGGGGAATTCCACTGATTTTTTCAAAAAACCTGTGTTACTGAATCGTTAAGAGGTACACAGAGTCATTCAGGGTGGTTTGGTATGAAATGCTCCATTCTAGAGAAACTTACTGTGTCAGACCAGATGTCCAATGATATCTTTCACATAGTTTTGAGATAAAGCTTTTAACCTTAAATGTATATTTTTAAACACAATAATGGGAGAGGGGTACATGTAAAGTGTTTTAAGGTAAATACTCCACAAAGAAAGCTTATTTCTTCATATTTCTTCATATTCAGCACTATTTTATCATCATCAACATATATATAGCAACTGGTCACTGGTCATTTGGATCGTAAATACAAATATTATATTTGCACTGTAGACATTGCAACCCCTGGTTACAGTCACCGCTGTAAAGAAGGGTTATTGAGAAAGAAGGTTTTGTTCCAGCAGCAGTGATACGCTCCACATATTTACACAGTGGCAGTGAAAAAGTCACAGTAACAGATCTGCACTGATACTGTTATATTATTTTAGAATTACAGATGAGGTAAAACAGGCTATAATATCTCACATTTTAACAGGAAACCATCTTACAGTACAGCTGAGGAACAACAACAACAATAATAATAATAATAATAATACCGTCAACTGTCAATGATTAAAACTAGGCATCCGTTATTTTTGTATTTTAGCTTATTGCACTGCATTTTTCTCAGTCAAACCGATCTGTGTAGGATATAATTAGAGTTAAAGAGTTAGATTTAGTTCAAGATCAATGAAACACAAAAAAAATTGAATTGAATATTGAACTCAGAATCGAAAATCCGATCAAACCTCAAAACGTGTGTGTGTCGTTATACCCCTAATAACGGTCACTATTATTGCAATCATTACACTACCACTAACACCAGTACTGATAATAATAGTAATACAGGCTAATCAGAACAGTCACTTCACCCATTACACCGGGAACTATCTGCACCAGCCTGGACGTTAGTTTTACCTAAATTAATCAGGGGGTCGTCTGTTTTAGGTTGGGACATCCCAGCTCCGTTCTTCTTCTTCTCTGCAGGTTTGCTCTTCTTTTCACTGCCCAACATCTCTGAGCGCTCTTCGTCCTCGTCTTTCTCTGTGGAGGAAATCTCTTCATAAACGCGTCGAGACTGAGAGCAGCACTGATTTTTTTCCTCTTCGGCCACTGCTGGTAATTTATCCGGACTTAGGGAGGGCCAGGGCCTGCCCACAGCTCAGCATTGCAGCAGGAGGGGCTGAGAGGAAGCCGATTAGGCACATGAGCGAAGGATACCGCCTCTTTCTCTCCCTCTCTTTCTTTACGAACCTCTCTAGCTCTGCTCTCCGAGCTTTAGCTGAAACAGAGCGCCTCGGTCAGTGATGCTCCTCAAAGCTGCTGCTGCTGTATCCGGGCTGCAACTCCCCCCTTCCTCTTTCCCCCAGCCCCCCACATCAGCGGATAAACCCAAACACACGTGTCATATCTTGGCTGCTTCAAACGTGCTGCGTGACCTAATTTAAACAGTAGCCTGTTGGGTGCCGTACAGTGAAGAAAATAGCTGTTCAGAAATGCAAAGAATAAAATCACAAACTCAAATCTGACTGATTTGTTCCTATCCGTGAATTTATTCAGACGCTAAGGCAGGGATGGCTTTGCTCAGTCAAAGTAGTGCTGTAGAAAGCAGGTTTATACAGGGACGACTTAAAGATACTTGTTACAAGGCTGCCCTCTAGCGGCCAACTTCATCATAGTGCTCTGTAAAAACAACATGAATGTACAGAAATGTGCTTCCGAGAGAACTTCACAGCCACTCGCTGATAACGGAATACACCGAGGGGGCGATAGATTCAGTGAAATGTTGAAATTAGTGTTTATTAGTGGGGTTTGGTGTTTCGTCTGTTTTAAATGTGAACAGGCTCCACCAGCAGTGCTAACATGGTGCTAACATATCATTCACGCTAAAATCTGTCAGTTATGTGTGTTATAGAGGGAGTTTAACCCTCAGTGGTGTGGGACTGTACATTTTTTCCTTCTCTCGTGATCTTCGACTCCGTCATGTGACAGCAGCCGAAACTAAACTCGCGGTAGTTTATGTAAACAGTAGTGCTGGCCGCTCTCGTTCTCTTATGGGCGGAGCTGGCTTTTCTATGAAGCCAAATCCAAAACAAAACTCGTAAGCGAGGAAAATGATTCTTCACACAACCAAAACCCATCTCGACTCTTCTTTCTGCTGGCCGTTGCGCTTCTGCTCTCTCAAGAGTTTAATTCGGTCCCGACATATGACTGGTTACTACTGATTTCTGGAACAGTGTTGTGATTGGCTGGCTGTCAGTGGTCGTCAGAGCTTTTGCTGTATATAAAAAACCCGGGAACAGGACTTTTCACTCTAGAAGAACTTCAGAGTACACCAATACAATAAAACGCTGACTGGAATTACTTATATATATATTAGCATATTTAAAGTAGGTATTATTATTATACATAAAATGGTAAATATTATTTACTACTCAGTTGTTACTGTTTACATTATATGAACCTTAATTATGATGATCTTTCATAGTAAGAATAATCACAGTGTATCTATCTGTGTTCGGACGTAGTGAACTACATCTAATTAAACTAGAAGTATAACTACATTTTGCAGTAGTTTGTTGGTAGTTTAACTACATTCATATTTGCATAGTGATTCAAGTAGTTTATTTAATTACTTTTTGCCATTTTTGTGTAGCTAACTACTGAATGTACAAACAATTTTGGGCCATAAAAACTGACAATTTGGGAAGTAATTAATAGCTTGTAAAGCTATGCTTTCAAAGTAGCTTCCCTAACACTGGTATCTATCAACCACATTTGGGTTTGAAAAAATCGATATGATTACTACACACACCCTTCAGGGTCGGAGTGGGGCTTGTTTTCAGACCGGGAGTTATATGTTGCAGGCCAGCCCACCACCTTGAACTCCGACTGTGTTTCTCCTGCTACAGCATTACGTTTATGCAACATAACTATTTCTAAAATGTTTCCATCTTCTTTTTTTACTTGTATAACTTATGTATTATTCATATGCTATACTGAGATAAACAAGAAGGCTAGATAGTGATAACATAAAAACTGATAAAAATAAATGTGACACAATCATGACCATGGATATACCTACCCAGACGCAGCTTTGTCTGTTGTTCTCTATCTGAGGCGATACGTCTACACGTCCGCCATGTTGGAGCGGTTAAGATCCGCTTGTGAACAAATTTACTTGAGATGAGTTCTAAGGATTAAATCGGCCACAACTTCCTTAATACTCGACCGATTCTCACCAAATTTGTTTTCTTATAATCCTCAGACAGATTAATCTAGGTTGCACGGACTGCTCTCAGTAGCTTTTATTTCTTTAATAAGTGATCGTGCTAATTAGCTGTCCGGACCAGCAGAAAAGTATTCAGTCTGCAGCTGACATTAAAATTCAAGTTTAAGAAAGATACTGTCCGTAATGATTTTATTTCAAGAATATTGCACTCAGAAAGTGGGATAGGATTAGCTATATAACGGAGGAAACGCAGCGATCCACGCTCATGTTTGTGTGATGCCTATGTGTAGCTATGGCCGTGTGGTTGGTGAGGCACAGAGAACCTGTTGATGTGATTGTTTTTCTCTGTTCATGTATTAAGCGTATTAAGCTTATTAAAATATTACATTTCATTTAATAGTCTATTCAGGGAATCTTGTAGTAGTAATTTATTTACAATGATGGTCAATTGTAGCTAGGTTACAGCATTCCTTGTGTAGATATTCATAATAGATTAACTTTAGCACCTTCTCACACGAAGCTTAAGTCAGTTTGTCAGATTCTTGTTCGAATTTTCCCGTTCCACCTTAAATGGTGCAGCTTCAGGCACCAGAAAGTGACTGCTGCACCATTTAAGGTGGAACGGGTAAACTCGAACAAGAAGCTGGTGAATTGGAAGCCAACTTCAGCTTTGTCCTTTCAATGTTTTGGGAATTTATTTTATTTTTATGTATATTAAGATTAGAAGTGATTCATACATTGATGGACTGATTGTGGGATTATGTTTCTGCTCAGCTTCTGTTTAAACTGACGCTCTGTAAAAGTATTGAATGCAGTCCAGATGCGATGTTGATCGCCGCAAAATGGCGGCGCCGTTGACGTGCCTGGCTGGACCCAACGCGGCTTCTATGTATGTAGCCACATCTATGATCACGAGTCAATGCACTACAAACGAAAGTAACTTAACATCCTGTCAAAAATTTCTCACTGCCCATTTGCTCAGAATATTCCGCATCCACCTTAACTAGCTTTCTCAGACCTTGGTTCTCTGCAGTTCTTGCCGCTATTGTAGCTAATTTATTAAACTCAGTGGAGCTCTGCCTGCTGTGTTAGCAGCACGTCGTCGCCCTTCCTTTCTTTCGAGGCTGCTGTCAGCTTCTTATTGGAATTTCCGTTCCACCTTAAATAGTGTCGCATTTACTCGCTAGCCACCGAACAGGCGTCTGAATGTAAATGCTACATCATTTAAGGTGGAACGGCAAATAAGAATAAGAAGCTAACTTCAGCTTCATCTTATATCTGTCCACGGTACGAGTTACAAACAGCAAAACGGGGCTAACGTTACACAACTTGAAGTGGGGGGCACTGATTTAGTCCCTAAATTTCTACATAAACACTTGGGTGTAACGTTTATAGTACTTTGAGTGTTCCGTTTGGAGTTCGCCATTTTTAAGTCTCGCGCTGCTATCAGGCGTATCGTAACAACGAGAACAGCTTCTCATTGGTCGCGAGTCACGCGCATTTTCTGTTTAGGTTCTGGAACATTACGTGACAGACAGGCGGAGGGGAGATCAGCGGGGTTTCCTTCTGTCTCATAGAAGCCGCCCAGTCTTAGTAGTCCAACCTGTAATATTTCTCTCCCATAGATTTGCACTGAACTGATTTTCTAAAATATGGAACAAAGTGCATCCCGTATCAGTCCAGTACGGAATACGTCTTTTAGGCTACGTTTACACAGCAGGTAAAAGTGGCCCAAATCTGATTTTCTCACCAAATCCGATTTTTTGGTTTGGCTGTTCACATTATCTTTTAAATGTGATCTGTATGCGACATCAGTCTGAACAGATCACGCTCCTAAACCGACCCGCATGCGCAAAAGAACAGTGCTTCACGTGGCGGCTCATCCAGAGGTAAACAATCATGACGGCCAGCGAACGCCAGTCGCTCCCGGAGGATCAGCTTCGTCTTCACCAGCATCACAGGAGCGATTCTAAAGTTCCAGTGGTTGACAGCTGGACTCATCACCCACAGTGTGTTCGAGTTCGCCGAAAAAGGGCTCGTTATTCGGCCGCTTCTTTGGCTCGTGTCCTCGGATTCTTTAAACTGCTCTCTGACGCTGCAGCCTCGGGCTCCTCCGGCCGCGTTCGGCCGTTCCGTTCGAAACCTCTTCGATCACGGAGCGGTTTGATGAGTCTCCTCTAATTTTTCGGTACAGAAACGTCAGACTAAATATTTATGAGTCTCAGCAGCGCGAAATTATGACGAATGTCGAGTTGGATTGACGTAAAAGTCGCATGAATTCCGATCTGGCTGTTCAGACTGAGTCGCATTGCCGCAGATCGGATACGTATCGGATTTCAGTACCACATATGAAAGCGTCTCAAATCGGAATTGAAAATGTCAGATTCAATGCGTTTTTTGCTGTTCACATAGCCACACAGATGACACATCTGAGGAAAAAGATCGGATTTGGGCCACTTTTACCTGCTGTGTAACCGTAGCCTTAGTTTCCAATCAAGAGATGATTCCGTATTTTACGGTACGGTCGGCAACCATTTAGACAGATAGACAGATTCATACTTTATTATTCCCAGTGGTGAAATCGTTTTGTTGCAGCAGCACACACATTTCATGGATGTAACACGAACGAAGCCAGATTTAAGAGGGAATGCATTTTCTGGCAGGTGGTTCACCATAAAATGCACCAGTCACTTTCTTTCTGTTGTCCCTAGGGTTAAAGGTTTTAGTGACATGTACTTGAGACCAAAATGCCTTGCTATAGTGATGTTTGACATTGAAGCTTAGAAACAAGTGTCAGAAAACCAACTCTCTTTACTCTGAGGCGCCTGGTTCATATTTCACAAACAGTTTCTGGAACTAATACAACAGAAACGAACTGGTGCAGGTTTTCATGGCTTTAACATCAAACGCTTATTTCTTGATTTCGATTTTATATATGAAGCCCGCAGCTTTACTATGAAATAATATGTAGGACAAAAGTACAAGAGAACACGCATATGCATGAGTTTGTCAAGAGATTTGCTGTAAATACCAGCTGCAAACATCGCTTCTAAAATTGTTATTTTTCATTTGCGTCATGTTTATAAAAGTATCTTTAGTATTTTAGAAACCAATT